TTTATAGTTTTACTGTTTTGAGTCCAAGTGCAGAAAACACTGGAGGTTTTAAAGAAGAGACTGGACAGCCATTTGTCTGGAATGGTATAGGGTTTCCTGCCTGAGCATGGGGTTGGACTAGATGACCTCCAAGGTCCCTTCCAACTTTATTATTATTATTATTATTATGGATCATCGCGCAGTCAGCCAGATGTTCAGACTGAATTTGGCATTTTTGTCTACCTATCGAGTCCTTCCCCAGGACCTGGGATAGGCAGATGTGGATGTTTGATGGTATTACAGATATCGTCGCAGGATGGAAGCAGTTCCTAGTAAGGCCGCCTTTTGCAATTGACTGATGGCGAATCTGTCAATGCCGTTGATGGTGTCCAAGTGGTGCTCCAGTTGTTTTGGGATTGCACCCAAGGCGCCTATTACTATTGGTGCTACCCTTGCTTGCCTTTGCCACAGTCTTTCTATTTCTATTTGTAGGTCTTTGTATTTTGTGATCTTCTCCAGTTCTTTCTCGTCTGTTCTGCTGTCTCCAGGCACTGCCACGTCCACTATCCAGACTTTTTTTGTCTTTCTTATCGACGATTGTTAAGTCCGGGGTGTTACGTGGCAGGTGCTTGTCTGTTTGAATTCTGAAGTCCCAGAGCAGTTTAACATTTTCATTTTCTACGACTTTCTCTATTTTATGGTCCCACCAGTTCTTGCCTGCAGGCAAATGATATTTCTTGCAGATCTCCCAATGCACCATTGTTGCTACTTTGTTTATTATTATTATTATTATTATTATTATTATTATTATTATTATTATTATTATTATTATTATTATTATTGAAGTGGGTTATAAAGTTACTGTTCTGCAGCCTGGCTTTACCAGACCTCAACTTCGAGAATAGGGAACAAAGATTTGTACCACGTATTCTGCTCAGCAGAAATTCTGACTCATTTTCCTGGAATCTGTTGGGGGTCACCAGTAGTGAAAACTGTTGAAAATCAGCCAAACAAACTCTGTTTGTTTGCAGCAAGGGGAAAAAAAATCACTCTTGTTCCCAAGGAAGGGGTGAAAATCCCAACAAAGAGGCAACAGGGAGGTGCCTTAAGCGAAATTATTTGCCAACACTGCCTCCCACCATTCTTTTAAAAGTTCTTTGAAGAAAACGATGAGTTGGGAAATTATTATTATTATTATTATTATTGTTATTATTATTATTATTATTTTGTAACCCCTTGGAAGGGTCTCAGTGTAGGAAGGATGGCTGGTGATGTCATTTTTGCCTTCCTGGGGTCTTTTTTTCTTTTCCACCTCTCTTTTAAGCAAAAGTGTGAGGTGTTAACCTTTGAAGAAATGTCGGGTCTCCCCTGGAGCGGAGAAGATGCTTGCTCAGTTTTTGAAACTCTGATTCTAGGTGGGTTTTTAAATTATTATTATTATTATTCTTTTTTTTTTCTTAGCATCGCCAGGAATAAGGGAAAAACATTATCAATTTGCAGATGGAAGCACGGACACGCATGTAAATGAACACGCCTTGCTATCTCACAAGGGAACTTCGACCACGCCTCCGATCCAGAGCCTAAAATTACTTAACCGCGGAAGCCATTGTTAAGTAAAGTGAGAATAACAGCTAATTTAATTGGCTGGTTGGCATCAAAGGCTTGCGGGAAAAACCAGTTCTCCTTATTTGAAAGGGATGGTAGGAAACAGGAGGTGGGCGAAAGCGTCACCGGGATTACAGATCACAACTTGGAAAGGAGTTGTTTGGCCCTGTTTGGGTGTTTGTTCCTTCCCTGCAAATGTTGGGTGTCAGAAAAGCTAGAGGGCACCAGGTTGGGGACTGTAACCCTTGGTGCATAAGCACTCAGTGAGTATTGGAAGAGAGGACAAATGGCTGTCCAGTCTCTTCTTGAAAACCTCCAGTGTTGGAGCCCTCACAACTTCTGGTGGCCAGCTGTTCCACTGGTTAATTGTCCTCACTGTCAGGAGGTTTCTCCTTAATTCCAGGTTGCTTCTCTCCTTGGTTAGTTTCCATCCATTGTTTCTCATCCTTCCCTCTGGTGCTTTGGTGAACAGCCTGACCCCTTCTGCCTTTTGGCAGCTGCTCAAATACTAGAACACTGCTATCCTGTCTCCCCTGTTTCTTCTTTTCTTTAGACTAGCCAAACCCAAGTCCCGCAGCCGTTCTTCGTATGTTTTAGTCTCCAGGCCTTGGATCATCTTAGTTGCTCTTCTCTGAATTCTTTCCAAACGCTCAACATCTTTTTCGTGATAGGGTGACCAAAACTGGCTGCAGTATGCCAGGTGTGGTCTTACTAGGGTTTTACAAAGCGGTACTAATACTTCACGTGATCTTGATTCAATGCCTCTGAAAAGAAGGCTCTTCTCTTTGTCAAGGCTTTGGGTCGTCCTGGAGGCCCCCATTATCTGCCAGGTCTTCGGAAACATCTCCAAAGTGAGATGGCCAGGTGACATTATCAGGTGGCAGTTTGTGGGAAAGACGCTTCAAACGTCACTCCTCATAATCTAAAGCAGGGGTAGTCAACCTTGGCTCTTTTATGACTCGTGGACTTCAGCTCCCAGAATTGAAGTCCACGAGTCATAAAAGAGCCAAGGTTGACTACCCCTGATCTAAAGGAACCAGAAAGCTGACTAGGAGAAGACACAGTTAGAAGATGTTCTCTGGGCATGTCATCTCCCACAAGACCATGACCCAGGAGAGTCAGGCCTGCGTTGACTCATCTCGAGGACCTGTTCTTGACGTCAGAGCAAAAGCATTTGCAGTTCTGCAGGCACCAGGACTGGAATTTCAGGATGTCTCTGGACATGTAAAGCAGAGATCCTCCAACCTTTCTAGGCTGATGGGGGCATTCGGACTTCCTGAAAAAAGTTCTGGAGCTTAGGACGAGGACATGATAAAGAGCATGGGGTGGTTTTCCAGATTCCTGGTCTACTTTAAGTGGTTTCTTGACATTATTCCCTCCCAAGAGCTAACCAAGTTTGATCTGGGTTAGGTTGGAAGCTCAAGATCAGCCAGCTGTTGACAGCTGCGAAGGCACACGGAGAGGACTGTGCTAAGTCAGAGAGCAATATTTCCGCCTTGGCGGATTGTAAATTTCATTCTTCACCCGAGAAGCAACATTCTTAGCAGATGTATTGTTTAAACTACCAATTGCTCAGCTCTCTGATTCGGTAACAATTTTTTCCTCCTGTCAAAATAAAACAAAAGCTCGTGCTTTAAAAAAAAAAATATTGTCCTATAGGGAAGGCCAGAAGGGAGATGAGCCCAGTCTTTCTTCAGAAAAAGTCATCCAGGACTGTTGTTGAGTAAGAAACTGGTCAGACAAGCGATGAATCAGCTCTTAATTATGAAACGGGTCATATTTTTATGCCCGTTTCACAGGTGGGAAGACAGGTTGGTCAAGCAGCTTGAGCTTTTTGGCCAATCCAGCCTGGTGATTCAAAGGTGTGGAGCAGCACCAACAGGTGTCCAATCGCGTGATCTGCTTGTGGCATCGGATTCCCCAAAAAAAGGAATCCGAAAGCCACCCCCGTGATTCCACAAGTAATCCGCCACCTTCTTGGTGACTCAGGAAATTCTCCCAGGGAGAGAAGACCATCAAGGTGGAAGATTCTGAAAGATGTTTAGGAGGAGCTGTTGGGTTCCTCCGAGGACTTTTCAACGGGAGCAAGTAGGTTTAACTAGCGGTCAGTCCCACCCCATCCTCCAGGTTTTTGCAGTCTATTTAGGGACCACCCTCTTGATATTAGGAGAGTCGCTCATATTCTCCAGGAAGCCCATCATGGTCCAAAGACTTGGGATTCGTCCACCAGATATCTGGATGCAACCAGGCAATCCCCACTTGGCTCAGCTTCGCAGCAGCCCCCAAAGCTTCAGCACTCCCAATTTCAAGCAAGTAGAACCCATTCTTAAGTTCTGCCCATCCTCCCAGATGCCCAGAAATGAGATTTCCCCCCCTGATTCTCTTATCTTTGTTAGTTATCCTCAAAACTGGGCTAATTTTATAGCTTGCAAGAGGCAGGGAGAAGCAAACCACACCTCTGTCTCCCTCTTGTGGCAGGAGAGAATAATTGCAGCTGCATTCAAGAGATGCCAACGTTGATCTCTCTCTCTCTCTCTCTCTCTCTCTCTCTCTCACACACACACACACACACACAGCCCAAATTTGTTACAAAAATCAACTTGACTGAAAGCCATCCCTACGATCAATTTTGGCACATTTGAAAAAATAGACACAATCAGCTTTTCCATCTCGGACAATCAACTCCCAACTTTGACTATCCTGGGAATGAACAGAAGGGTGGGGGGGAGAAGCAGCATGTAACTAGCCAGTGTTAGTTCTGAGTATTTCTGACTAGAAAACCTCTAAGGTCCCTTTCAACTGTTAAGTCTATTAATTCTAATCTGTTCATTCTACTGTTTTTCTATCATTAATAATATTCTATTGATGTTATTCTGTTAATTAACCAGTGGAACGGCTTGCCTCCAGACGTTGTAGGTGTTCCAACACTGGAGGATTTTATGAAGAGATTGGACAGGCACTTGTCTGGGTCTCCTGCCTGAGCAGAGGGTTAGGACTAGATGACCTCCAAGGTCCCTTCCAGCTTTGTCATTCTGCATTTTTTTCCTTCCTTCCTTCCTTCCTTCCTTCCTTCCTTCCTTCCTTCCTTCCTTCCTTCCTTCCTTCCTTCCTTCATCACTGAGGATTTCAAGAAGAGACTGGACAGCCACTTGTCTGGAATGGTATAGGGTCTCCTACTTGAGCAGGGGGTTAGACTAGAAGACCTCCACGGTCCCTTCCAGCTCTATTCCAATATATATAGTTTGAAAGTTTCCCCTTTGTTTGCACCCCCAACTACAATGCAGAGTCAGTTTCTAAAAAGCTCCAATTTGGGGGACTCCAGTCGTGTGATCTTAATACTTTATGACGCCTACTAGGGGGAAAAGAACACAATTCTAGGTCTCAAAGGTAGAAACAGCCACAGACCCAACAGAGAATCTTTCTGAAGTTGCCAGACGTTTACTAACAGGTGTAGAACTAGTCGGGAAGGGAATGTTGGCCGTGGATAATGGGGCGCTCAGTCCTTAAGAGTGGCCCTCTGCAGCCGTGTCTCATCCGTGTATTCCACAGGTCCGTCTCCCGTTTCGCCAAGCAAAACGGTCCGCATGATGGCTTCGGTGACCGCGTAGGGATCACAGTTCGCAGCCGGCCGGCGGTCTTCAAAGTAGCCGCAGCCGTCTTGCCCCACTTGGCGAGGGATCCGGATGCTGGCGCCCCGGTTGGCCACTCCGGCCGAGAACTCGGTGATGCTGGAGGTCTCGTGCTGGCCGGTTAGCCTTCTGGTGTTGTCCTGGCCTCCTCGGGGATCGTACATCCGGATGTGATACTGGTGGCGTTTGCTCAGCCTTTCGATGGCGGTTTCGATGCACCTACGGAGGAGGAGAATGTGTAAGACAATTGCCGGTGGTGGAGTTAAGCATGCTATTAGCCCGGAATCATTTGTGTTCCCACAAAGGGTCCACGTTCAAACCCTCCTGGATTTTATCGACCTTTTATCTGGTGCCAATTGAATGTTGACTGGTCTGGAGGTTGACAAATGTAGAGAAAAACCCAAAATCAAAGTTTCATTTTGTTTCCCCCACCTCAAGCACAAAGTCCAGAAGTGGTTTCCAAGAAGAAACAAAAGCCATTTTTCTTTCTTTCATCCAAACAGATAGTTTAGCCCTCTCTGCTAACTCCATCAACTTTTGCAGCCATTGTGGGAATCAAAGTTGCCTTCCATTTTTGTGCATAATTTTGTTGCCGCCAACATATATAACATCAAAATTCCAATTCCACCCCCAAGTCTTTTTTCCCCATTAAACCCAAAAGAAAAGTTTCTGAATTAGGATGTGACTGACTCCTATTCCAACCTATATTTTAAACCAGGTGAAAATAAACCCCTTTGGGGATTTATGATTGTTGTAAGCTGGGCCATTCTCTCACCATTAATTGCTCTTCTAAGTTCAACTACTTACTTGATACCCCCTTTCTGCCGTGTTTCGTTGGTGCTGACGTTAGTATGGCATCCAGCCCCGTTCCAGTTGCCGGTCATCGGCTTAGGATCCAAGGTGGCCACGATGCCAAAATCTTCACAAACCCGATGTAAAATGTACCTCGCCATCCACAGGTGGTCGCCCATTTCAATGCCCACACACGGTCCCACTTGAAATTCCCACTGCAGGAATGCAAGGAGAAATCTGGTTATTAACAGGTTGCCACGGTGTATCTCTTGAGTAACTCTTCCACCCAACATAACAGGCCTAGGGAAGTGACGAACTGCAGCAAACCCACCAGCAGTTAGCATCCACCACACTAAATGTTCTCTGCAATTGGGTCTGGTTAATTATCAACAGAAGAGACTATTTGTACTCAGAGTTGAATTGTGGGGTCCTTGGGGCTTTCTGAGCTGGGGGGTTTTCTTGCAGACGTTTCATGACCCAACTAGGGAACATCATCAGAGCTAGTGGGTGTGACTTGCTCCCTGTTTATACCCAGTAGCTCTGAGCTGGGTTGTTTTCTTGCAGACGTTTCATGACCCAACTAGGTAACGTCATCAATGCGCTATGATGCAGCAAAGGATATGCCGAAGGGAATGGCAGGAGGAGAGATGGCAAAGCGGACCCTCCCCTCAAATCTTTTCGGGAAGCATTGTTGTAAAATACCTGAGACGGCATGACTTCAGCGTTGGTGCCGCAGATGTCCACACCAGCATACATGCAAGCTTTGTAGTGTGCTTCCACAACATCACGTCCGTACACTTTGTTGGCACCAACCCCACAATAATAGGGTCCTGGGAGAAAAGACAAGAGTTGCATTTGTGAGTAAATGCTCAAGACCCCCGGTGTCTTGCATGCTGCTAGTGGGTTTTCTCCTGTTTTATCTGCACAGAGATTTGATAAATCTCTGATAAATATAAATACAAAGAATCAGCTGTGTCTGCATCTTTCCGCAGTCCAGTTCAACTGTGCCACGCTGGTGAGCTGGGTTATGCCAGGGTTTTGACTTCTTTCGCTGAGTTGTGTTGTATGTGATGACTAAGCAGTAAGTGGAAATATATATATTTTTAGCTTTCAAAACGTTGGTTCCTACCACAGGCTTTACAGTGACAGGAGTTAGTCAAGAAGGAAGGAAAAGAGAGGAGAGAGAGACGGGAAGGGATAAAATAGATCAGTACAGAACAAAACAGAATAAGAATAAAATAGAAATAGAAATGAAATAGAAATGAAATAGAAATGAAATAGAGTAGAGTAGAGTAGAGTAGAATATGGAATAGAATAGAATAGAATAGAATAGAATAGAATAGAATAGAATAGAATAGAATAGAATAGAATAGAACAAGAGTTGGAAGGAATAGAATGGAGCAGAATAGAACAGAATAGAATAAGAGTTGGAAGGAATAGAATAGAATAGAACAGAATAGAATAGAATAGAGAATGAAATAATTAGAATAGAATAGAATAAGAATAGAATAGAACAGAACAGAATGCAGATTGAAATAATGAATGGAATGGAACGGAAAGAAGGAAGGAAGGAAGGAAGGAAGGAAGGAAGGAAGAAAGAAAGAAATTTGTTATTAATTCCAGATTATTTTTTCTTTCTTCCTGGGGAGGTACCTCTTGATTTAAATCCTTCCTGCCATATATATATATTCTCTCTCACCTAGGATCATTCTTCCCCAGTAGGTTATCAACTCTAACCTGCATTTACTTGTTCTTTTCCCATCACTAGCAATTTAAAAAAAAACAAGCCAGAAAAAAAAAATATGCATGGGGGGGGGGGAAGAAAAGAAAAGAATCAGGAAGAAAAGATTGCTCAACGAAACCAGTTCTCCGATGGCGCCTCTTGCGCAATGCTGGGTACAAGCAATGTCCTTGGGAGGGGAGAGGGAATTTCATGACAATTTTTTTCCATTGCGGTCTGCACTTTGGCCAGGTAGAGAGAGGGGGGAAAAAGAAAAAAAGATGGAATCTTAAAAAGTGGGATTTGATCTACGATTGATTGTACACTTGCTGCCCTGACCTATTCACCGAGGAAATCCCCCAGGGCGCAAGTCTTCCACAAGCACAGGCGGTCCTTGACTTACAACGGTTCATTTAGTGACCGTTTGAAGCCACAACAGTCCTGAAAAAAGTGACTTGAGACTTGGTGTTTTTCATCCTTTACGACCGTTGCAGCATCCCCATATAGTGATGTGATCAAAATTCAGGAGCTTGGCAACTGATTCATATTTATGACGGTCGCAATGTCCCCGTGTGTGTGTGTGTGTGTGTGTGTGTTTGTGTGTGTGTGTGTGTGTGAGACGTAATCCCCTTTTGTGACCTTCTGACAAGCAAAGTCAACGGGGGAAGCCAAACTCGCTTAAGAACCGTGTGACTAATTTAACGACGGGCGGTGATTCCCATAACGACGGTGGTAAGCCGGGTTGTACAAGGGGGCCCCATTCACGCAATAATGTCTCGCTTAGCGACAGAAATCCCGGGCTCAGTTGTGGCCGTAAATGGAGGACGAGAACAAAATCCTGCCTTTTGGGCCTGATCAGCTCCCCCCCCCCCCCCGTTCTCTCCATGGCAGTTTTTTTTTTTTTACCTTGTGGCCCCGGAAATCCGTTTTCAGGCCAGCCGTACGGCCGGCCGTCCATGCCCAGCAAAGTGTATTCCTGCTCCATTCCAAACCAGGGCTGGCTCTCTTTCACCAACTCCATGACTTGCTTGCAGGTGCTCCGAAAATTGGTCTCTGCGGGAGGGAAGATATGGAGAATTTGAACCCAGAACTTTAGAATAGGAATGGAACAGAACAGGGTAGAAAATAGAATAGAACTTAGAATAGAACTTAGAATAGAATAGAATAGAATAGAATAATGATAGAATAGAATAATGATAGAGTAGAATAGAATAGAATAGAATAGAATAGAATAGAATAGGGAATAGAATAGAATAGGGAATAGAATAGAATAATAAGAATAAAATAGAATAGAATGGAATGGAAGGGAAGGGAAGAGAAGAGAAGAGAAAATAGGCAATAGAAGAGAAGAAGGAATAGAATAGAATACAATAGAATAGACAGAGTTCTCCTCCTTTCCTCCTCCTCCTCCTCCTCCTCCTCCTCCTCCCTCAAAACCCCACTCACTTCTAGCACTGATGGTGCTACCTAGTTGGGTCATGAAACGTCTGCACGGAAACCACCAAACTCAGGGAGCACCCAGGACCTCACAGTAGTCCCTCTTCTTCCTCTCCATAACCCCCCTTTCCTTCTAGCTCTGATGATGCTACTTAATCAGGTAATAAAATGTCTGCAAGAAAACCACCAAGCTCAGCACCCAGGATCCCACAGTCCTCCTCCTCCTCCTCCTCCTCCTCCTCCTCCTCCCTTCTGGCACTGATAACGTTCCCTAGCTGGGTCATGAAACGTCTGCAGAGAAACCACCCAGCTCAGACAGCACCCAGGACCCCAGAAAGAGCCTCTCCTTCGATCTATTTCAGCAAAGCGGAAAGGCCGGGGCAGAGAAAGGGATGAAGAGGGGAACATTCAGAGAAAAACCCTTACCAGCCGGTTTCCTGTTGTACTTCAGAACCTCACACAATACCAGCTTGTTGGGGTCCAAGCAAAACGGGTCTCGGAACATCTTCACGGGGATTAAGAACATGTCGCTATTGGACCCTTCGGATTGTCCCGTGCTGGAGCCATCGAAATTCCATTCTGAAAGATCTGCAGGATAGTTGAAGCACAACAGAGTTAGAAGGGACCCGGGAGGTCTTCTAGTCCAACCCCCAGCTCAGGCAGGAGACCCGATCCCATTCCAGACCAAGGGCTGTCCAATGTCTTCTTTAAAAAAAACTCCCCAGGGTCACGTGATCGAAATCCGGCCGCTTGGCAACTGACTCGTATTTATGACGGTTGCCGTATCCCGGGGTCACGTGATCCCCTTTTGCGACTGTCTGACCGGCAAAGTCAATGGGGGAAGCCCGGTTCGCTTAACAACCATGCGGCTATCAACTGCCGTGATTCACTTAGTGACGGTGACAAGAAAGGTCGTAAAAGGGGGCAAAATGGGCGTAAACCAATGTCTCGTTTAGCGACAGAAATTTTGGGCTTAATTACGGTCGTAAGTCGAGAACTACCTGTATTTGTCTGAAACAACTTACTAAAAGGGGGTTTTGAGCTCTCGGGAAAGTTCCCGGGCTTGGAGAACGAGAGATGCGCAATGGTGGATGAGGGGAAAAAACAGAATAGAATAGAAAATAGAATAAAATAGAATAGAGAATAGAAAAGAATAGAATAGAATAGAGAATAGAGAATAGAGAATAGAGAATAGAATAGAACAGAATAGAACATATAATAGAGTAGAACAGAATAGAATAGAATAGAATAGAAATAGAATAGAGTAGAATAGAGAATAGAATAGAATAGAATTGAATAGAAAATAGAATAGAATAGAACAGAGTAGAGTAGAATAGAATATAGAATAAAATTTGAATAGAATATAGAATAAAATTTGAATAAAATAGAGTAGAGTAGAGTAGAATAGAATACAAATAGAATAGAGTAGAATAGAGAATAGAATAGAATTGAATAGAAAATAGAATAGAATAGAACAGAGTAGAGTAGAATAGAATATAGAATAAAATTTGAATAAAATAGAGTAGAGTAGAATAGAACAAGAGTTGGAAGGGACCTTGGAGGTCTTCTAGTCCAACCCCCTGCTCAGGCAGGAAGCCCCAGACCCTTTCAGACAAATGGTTGTCCAATCTCTCCTTAAAAACGTCCAGGGTTGGAGCATCCACAAGTTGATGTGAATAAAACGATGAGGTGGACCAAGTTCAACCTCACCTTCGATGCAGCTTGGTTCCTGGGTCATGGTTTTGGTTTTACAGCGAAGGCCTTCTCCGGTTCCATCTATCCAAATGTAGGTGGCCAACACTTTCTTCCCTTGGGGTAGCTTCATGTACTGGTCTCTGACCCCCTTGTTGAGCTTGGAACTGTGTGACACAGACATGGTGGCAATCTGGAGAAGAAAAAGCAAGATGCCTTCAAAGCCAGGTTCACAACCACGAGCACGCACATCCAGCTTTTCTCCAAGGTGAATCCGTTAAGAATCGACTCCAGTTTGAGCCTCAACCCCAGGGGTCTTCCAACTTGGCCCTTTTATGACTTGTGGACTTCAACTCCCAGCATTCCTCAGCCAGCCTGCCTACTGGCTGAGGAATTCTGGAAGTTGAAGTCCACAAGTCATAAAAGGGCCAAGTTGGAAGACCCCTGCTCAACACAATCCTGTAACACGCCTAAATTCAAGAGGTGGCTTCGGCACTCTCAGGGTGGGCAAGTGTCCCGTTCCCCTCCCCAGCCTTATTTTCACAACAACCCAGTGGAGTAGGTCAGCCTGGGAAAGCTTCGGGACTATGGGAAGCTTCAAACCTAATTTTCCCAAAGCCTGCCTGGCTCTANGGAGAGAGAGAAAGAGAAGGGGAGACAGAGGGAGAGAGAAAGAGGAGGGAGAGAGAAAGGGGGAGAGAGAGAAAGAGAGAGAGAACGAGAGAGAGGGGGAAAGAGAAAGAGAGAGGGGGAGAGAGAAGGAGAGAGAAAGAGGAAGAGAGAGAGAAAGAGAGAGAGGGGGAGAGAACGAGAGAGGGGGGGAAGAGAGAAAGAGAGAGTGAGAGGAAGAGAGAAAGAGAGAGGGAAAGAGAGAGAGAAAAGTGTCAACTTTGCATCAGAATGGAATTTCATTCTGGGTTGTTGTTTAAACCCGGAAAAAGATTTGAAAAGGATTGCAGGATCAAGTAATGGCGGATTTGGTTAAGCACGCTGTGCAAATCCAGCCGTTTAAACGGGAACACCTAACCAGGCCACATTTTACAGCTTCGGATTCTGGGCGATGTGGTTTGTGATTCAGCCGGGCACCAGGAAATGCTCGGTGGTAATCACCACACACAAACACACACACACACACACACACACACCGGGAAGTGGAAAAACAAACAGTGTTATCCGAAGTCCAACTGAGAGGTTGAAAGAAAAGGAAAGTCAGAATCAACGGACAGAGCAATCTCCAAGCTTTCAGCACCTACTACAGAATGGGCCACCAAGTTGGCAATGCTGCAAAAAAAAAAAGAAGAAGAAGGGAGGAATGAGGAGAGAAAGAAAGATAACACTCGTTTAGCATATGTAAAAAGCTATCTGAATATTTACATCTATCGCTCCCTGGAGGGCATAAGAGACAGATTAGGAACAGTACTAAGAAAGGAGAATATTCGTAGCTCAGGGTTGCAAATGAGGGGGTCCTTGGTGCTCTCTGAGCTTGGTTGTTTCCTTGCAGATGTTTCATGACCCAAATAGATAACATCATCAGTGCTAGAAGGAAGTGGGGTTTGTGAAGAGGAGGAGGATGAGGATTGTGGGATCCTTGGTGCTCTGAGCTTGTTTTCTTGCAGACAGTTACATGACCCAAACTAGGTAACATCATCGGTGCCACCGCCACCGCTAGGAACCAGATTGTTAAACTTAGCAGAGGCACATGTTAAAATGGGCTTTTGTGGCAGGTTAAACACAGTGCCTTAGCTCCATTTTCTTACTCCCTCTGCAAAGCAGGGTGTAACCTGTTTGCTCAGCGTGGGAACCCGAGGCTTCGAATCTGTTTGCAAGCTACTCCATCAACAAAAGACCCAACCAATGTTGTCGGTTTGTCGGGCCTCCTTCCAGGTGCACCTCAAGAGAAGTGGTGACAGGAGAGATTCCTTCTCACCCACCCACCTATTTGCCTCCATGCCAGTTCCCCATCATCAAAGGCCAAGGCACCCCCTAAGTGAAGCTCCCCCCCATAAGTGGCCTAAGTTAACCTCCGAACAAAACAAACAAGCCCACCGGCCTTTTGACGATTAAAAATCATAACATTGTTGGGGTTTTAAACTCTTCTTCTTGGGATTAAGCAGGATTCACCTGTCGTCCTTCCCAACAGAGCTTCGGACAAGGCATTTAGATTATTTACAGGAAGATGTTGAATAGAATAATAATTTTGCATTCTTTTCTTTTTTTTTTAAAGCAGAGATAGCAAATAACACTTGTGGAGGCTTTAAGAGGACAAGGTTTGGGGGCAGCCCTAAGAGACTGTGCAAGTTGACATGGTAGGAAAGGTGCTAGTTCTTGGGGGGGAGAAGGGGGGGCTACCCCAGCTTTCTAAAATTCCCTCTGCAATCTTTTAGCATCTAGCTCAGAGTTGCATCATCCAGGCTGACGTAGCAGACGTTAGTAGTTTGTAGTTTGAATTCCGTTTATGCAACTAGAGAGAGGGAAGGAGGGAGGGGAGGGAGAGGGAGAGGGAAGGAAAGAAAGAAAGAGACAGAGACAGAGGGAGAGAGAGGGAAGGAGGGAAGGAAAGAGAAAGAGAGAGAAAGAGAAAGGGAGGCAGAGGATATGAGAGAGAAAGAGAGAGGGGGGGAAAGAGGGAGGAGGAGAGGGAAGGAAAGAGAAAGAAAGAGAAAGAGAGAGGCAGAGGGAGAAGGAGGGAGGAGAAAGGGGGAGGGAAGGGGAGAGGGA